TGCTTTGAACATTGAATGTAAAACATTTTACTGGTGTCATTTTATTAGGAAAGTTATGTATGTAGATAAGAACAGAAAGCTGTCACCATCACGGTCCACTGAGGTGAGAACCACATAGTCCAGACCCCACGCAGCGATGGCCTGGGCTGTGTGGTAGGGCTCGTCTGGATCAAGAGGTGGTGGACGACGGGCCGTCTTCACTGAGCAGAACCTACACCCACGGGTGCAAGTGTCTCCCATCAACTACATGCACAAAAAAAGAGAGTCATATTTATTTTATAATTTATAATCCAATTTTAAAATTAGTGCGTGACTGATTGACAGGAAAACAGATCAGTTTTAATGCATTCATTGTTTGTTTTTCCATACCTTTTATTGCTTTTTTTAGGCAGAAACCTACTGTAAGAATATTGTACCCGAGTAACATTTCTCAATGTCAAATTTTTAGTTATTTTTGCAATCTATTAGTTATTTCTTTGATAACGTTCGCTAATATTTTGTCTGGTTTTAGACTTACTGCCATAGTTTTTTTAGCAATTAAAGATTACAAACAAAGTACTGTTTAGACTTACTGCCATAGTTTTTTTTTAGCAATTAAATATTATAAACAAAGTACTGTAGTCAGTCCTTTAGTATTTTGATTTTAACCTGTCTGGCTCTCTATCAAATAAATATTATTATTATTACACCAAATTAGAGTTTGTTGTTACACAGTGTTACACCAGACTGACCATGATGGTGGCGGTGGCTGTGGCATGCTCCCCTCCTCCCCAGCACTCTCCAATGTTTGGACACCTGGCCTCCTCACACACCTGAGAACACAGACCAATGACCAAAGAAACTATATTGAAATGTCAAGTCAAAGAGATGCAAAAACCAAGTTCCAAGTATTTTTATATATTGCAACTGTTGGAAAATATAGCTAACAAAACTCACAGTATGAAGGTTCAGGTCTCTCAGTGTGTTTTTCAGCTTGTTGTAATTCTTTCCAATGGGGATCTCTGTCTTGAGCCACGGAGGAAGCCGTAGCCTGAAATAACAAAAAGTGGAGCCACTTATAAACTCTATAATGATCTTCTCTCTATGTGAGTGTATAACATGAAGATAAAAAAGCACTTTGGTAGAAAATTTACCATCAAGCTTTGTAAAATTGTATATCGAATATCATTTTTACCTCTCTCCTTTCTGTCTCCTCAGGTTGCCTTTGTATTCTGTCCACTTGCTTTTATCCGACAGTTCTCCAGAAATGAAGTCTTGCAGATCGGGCCCATCGTCACTCAGCTGCCCCATCTTTCTCTCAGTCGGGGCTGAGGAGGATGTGGCCACAGATGAAAGACAGTTGGAGAAAACCTACAAGGGCAGGATGGTTTGGTCAGGTTTACTACAATCAACTTGTCATAAATGATCCCAAAAAGCACACACAGGAATTGTCAGTTGGACTGAGACCTAAAAACATACATTTCCTCAAATGTTTTGAATTTCAAAAAATATATATAATTCTAACTCATTGATCACAATTAGAAAGATTAATCAGCTAATCACTGAATAATGGTTAATAAATAATACTGTTGATGCAGATATTGCTGCCACCTACAATTGTGTTAAAAGTTAAAAGCCGATTAATATTAATCGATTGGTGGCTGGACCAATCAGTTGGACGTTGACGGAGTTAAACTTTGCCACAAATCATAAGAATACGTTATAATACGAATATGTTTTAATCCGCCATTTTCACATGACATGACTATGACAACGCTAATAATGAACAAAAAAAATCTGGCAGTGCTAAATATCAGCATCAAGCTTGATGCTTGTTTTAAACGAATTGACATTGCGTAGACACAGCGCTTAACTGACAAGACACATGACTGAAGCCTGGACTTCAGCACAGTGGCGCAGGCCTAACAGCAGACGTTAAACGTGAACACATCACATTCAATGTCCACGGACGAAAGTGGTAAATGTCTGTGTGGAAATACTCACGTGTGGCACACATCTATAAGTCAGCCATGAATGGTGTGTGGAGAATCGACCAGCAACACAGCAACTCTGTTTGAATAACGCCATGACTTTGGTAAGCAGACGACTTTCTAATGGCAACAAACCTCGACGAGCAGCTGCTTTGGTCTGATGCTGCATTCAAGGGATGTGAGAAAATGGGATAAAGGGAAACGGTTTCACAACGTAACATCAGTAAAAACATTATTGCCACAAAAAGTAACAAGTATTAATGAAAACATGCTATGCCAGTTCTGTAAACGTATTTAATATGTACATGTATTTTACATAAGGAATATACAGTCACTCTAGAATCAAAAAAGGTTTTAAGAAATGTTATTATTATTATTATTATCATTATTACATTGACGTGGCGAATCATTTAGGTTTTTGCGACGCTACACGTCTTTTATAATGTGTGGTTTCATCAACTTCTGTTCTTTGACATCTTTGATTACATGATTTTTCAGTTTTATTTGCGTCAATAAAAAGCCCAATCAGATCTTTCTAATAAAATGTATTTATATATTTGTGAGTGTGTGTAATGCATTTAAACTGGTTTAAATTGGTCTTAAAGTGGTACTGTACAGATGATGCCATTTGTCTTGTCAAGTAAAACTTATTCCTTTCATTTAAAAAACAAAAAAAAATTGAACTTTATTGATCCCATATTTGGGAAATCCCTGTGTTAGTGATTCAGTAACGACTGTATGCTCTTTAAAATTCATATAATAATCACGTTTGTCTATTTTAAAGGGCGTTTCTACTTCGGGGGGCATTTTGTTTTTACAAAAGTGGGTAAAAGAAGCTTTTAAATGTATCAAAGCGAGACCAGAGAGCGCATAGAAATGATCGTCGATCGTTTATGATGCCTGGGGACGGCAGGCGCGTGCACTACAACAGCGTCGTGACGTCCTTCCTTCCTCCTTTCCTCTGCTACCGGCGAGGTGAGGATAGCTGAGAAATTATTTTCGTGCCTGTAAATCTAAACCCATCTAGCTCTATTAAACATATTTCTCTTCTTAATTCTAGACATATGACATATCAAATATAGTTATTCGCAGCTAACGTTGTATTTAGGCCTTACTTGATGCCTGTGCAATGATATTTGATTACTTTATACTGTGAAGAGTCTAGGCCTGACGCCGCTGAGTGCCACAACGTTTTTAAATTTGAGTTTAAGTTCATTAAAAGGATGTTTTTCCATAGTCGTCACCTTTGTTCAACATTAAAATATCAAATGGGATTATTGCGTTTAAAAGCATCGAAATATTGACTTGTGTGATAATTTGTAGTCCACGTTAGCATTAGCTCTAGTGCTAGTACTAGCTACTAGTGTGACTTCAATGAGTCTGACAGCGAACTCATTATTGTTCGGTTCTTAACATCATTTACCAGTATCATCCAGGGAGTTTAGTAGCCACAGTGATTTACCGACTCCACCATATTTTTGTCTCCACAGAATGAAGACCATTCTCAGCAGTCAGTCTGTAGACCTCCCCGACAATGGTAAGATACAATGTTTAGACTCGACGAAAAGATGCTAGAAAAGAAAGTGTGCCGTTTTTATGTATATTAAACGCTGCTGACTCCTTTTTTTAACCTTTCTACTGTGACTACAGTCGAGGTGAAGTTAAAGGGACGGACAGTGACTGTCAAGGGTCCCCGTGGTAAACTCACCAGAGAGTTCAACCACATCAACCTGGAACTGTCCCTGCTCGGCAAGAAACAGAAAAGGGTAAGTTAAACCAACCAGCCAGTCATGTTATGGTTTGCAACCAAAATGTGAGTGTGTCAGTTTTTTTATTTTTTTAAATGACACATTGTAGTACCATGCACCTTTTTCGCAGAGATGCAACACAATGGTGCAGGCATAAAGCCAGATGTACCAGTGTCAGTTTTATTAACTTATTCTTTTATCTTAAGCATTTCTTACTTTAGAAATTCTTAAAAGATAAATGTGTAGAACATCTCAGGACTCCCACAACCACAGTAATAACAAGGTTAAGAAAATAATTAATAAATATGTTGTGCCAATAATGGCACCCTAAGTAGGTGTGCATTACAACTTGTTTTAATTAACCAGTCATTGCTACAACTTAAATGAAAAAGGTAAATCATTATTAAATTTAACTTAAATTTAATTTTACTCTCCATTAATGGAATTGTTTTTAATATGGATCACTGGGGTCATTTATTTCAAAGAACTTTTATTTTTAATTTAAATTCAAAGCACGAAGCAGTTGTTACATTTATCTGTGTAAATATCTGTAAATTAGGTAAGAGAAAATTATTTAAAAATTAAGAAATTCACTTAAATAATTTTGGTTTAAACTATCGTTGATTTCCATCAAGCATAGCAGATGTGATGAATGGTTTTGTCAGTATTCTTTCACATAATATCAGCAACTGTTTACATTTGTCATCGTTTTTGTTTCTCTCAGCTCCGTGTTGATAAATGGTGGGGAAATAGAAAGGAGCTGGCCACAGTGCGCACCATCTGCAGCCATGTCCAGAACATGATCAAGGGAGTCACATTGGTGAGGTTTACTTCATTTCATATATGGTATTTTAAATAAATCAAAAGTGTTTGTATTATTCATAAGAGTGGGTCATTTTTGAACATTTTAATTTTCATGTCCTGGCTCAGTGGATTTTTATTTCTTTCCTGGCTGCAGGGATTCAGATACAAAATGCGCTCTGTGTACGCCCATTTCCCAATTAACGTCGTGATCCAGGAGGGTGGCAGTATGGTGGAGATCAGAAACTTCTTGGGAGAGAAGTACATTCGCCGTGTCCGAATGAGGGCTGGTGAGTCCACATGTGATGGAGTTAGGATTTGTAAAATCTTCATAGTAAAGGGTATATTTTAAAACTTGGTTGAGACTTGGCACTTGTGGAGGTTAATCTGCTTATTTAATGATTACTTGTGCTCTAAACAAATGTTGACGTTTCACATTTCACACGTTTCACAAGTCTGAGTGCTTTAGGATTTATAGCCACTTGACATGAAAAACTCAACCGTAGAAACTTTTTCTGTTGACGTCAAAGAGGTGGCTCCTCAGTGAATGTGTTTTAAAGTATCAAGCATGAGGTCACATTAAGTTGTCTGTTGTGTGGTTACAGTGCACTTTTACAAGTACCATACCTCAGAATATCAATTCTATGGATTTGGGTCTTGTGTGACATTAATTTGATGCTTGTCTCTTTCAGGTGTTGTCTGTTCAGTCTCACCTGCCCAGAAAGACGAGCTCATTCTTGAGGGCAATGACATTGAGCTGGTGTCAAACTCATGTAAGCTTTTTTTTCTATTTTCCTTAGACTTGTCTTCTACGTGGTATCATGTAAGATAATTGTGTATCTGGTGTTTTAAGCCCATTGATTTAACTGCTGTGAAACATTGTTACGGACGCAGGGGAATGGGTTCGTTCTAAGGTTTTTATATTCTTTATAGCTGTCTGCAGTGATCTTATTGCAGACAGTTGGTTATAATTGGTTTTGACATTATCAGGCTTAATGTCAAATTTCTGGGCCATGATAAGCTTGGTTCAAATAGATAGAGCTTTTGATGTTTGCTATTATGAATGTCCAAAAAAGAACACATCGCAAATATTGCAGCAATTTTTTGGAATAAAAAAAAAAGTACTACTTATTGCATTTAAGTCATTTGGTGTGTTGAGATGAAGTTGGCTATGTATGTTGTTGTAATATTATTTTCCCTGTCGGCTTTAAAACATGTGCAATGAGCATGTAAAGTTTGTATTGAGTATAGTCTAGTCTTTACCTACAAATAGTCCACAACTACTTTTGTCAAGTGAACCAGTGTTCATAGGACATACTTTAACATTCATTATATTCACCACTACAATCACAAGGGAATATTGAGCTATTCTGTACTATTCATTTCTATAGGAATAGACAGATATAACTCCTGACTCTTCACAGTCTGATCCTGCAGTCTTCACCAGACCATTGTTCGTTGTGATTTCTGATGTGCTGTCATAGGCTAATCAACCCTGTTTTTTTGTTGCAGCTGCTCTGATCCAGCAGGCCACCACAGTCAAAAACAAGGATATCAGAAAATTCTTAGATGGTATTTATGTGTCTGAGAAGGGAACAGTTGTGGAGCCAGGTCATTAAAAGTTCCACCTGCAGCCGTAGAGGTTAGAATACCGTCCGAGCCTTCCCTTCCCTTCCCCTCTGGGGCAGCCTTCCTGTTTTCTTTTGTCCACTGTTGTGCATGTTTTCACTCCTTTTTTTCTTACTTTCTAAAGGTGCTTGTGATTTCTTTGCTTTTCACACATTTCATTTACTGTTTTATGTTAGCACTGGAGTTTCAGGGCATGTTATAAATGCATGATACAAATTACAAAAGCCAATTATGTGTCCTGTGAATTTTTAGTATTAAGTTAGGTGTTGTCTTCACTGAACCTAAACATTTCTAATGCTCTTTTTGTGTTTATTTTTCTTTGAGTAATTGCTGAAATAATTTATTTCCTCACTAATGAACCCCCTACACACTGCTACTCTTGTCTTTCTTTCTACAAGGTCTTAATTTTAATTAGTAAATTAGATGCCTTATTGTTCCTTTTAACACTTTGATCTTTTTCCCCACCAGCCTCTTTGATCCAACAGGCCACCATGGTCAGAAAGAAGGACATCAGGAAGTTTCTGGATGGCATTTATATCAGCGAGAAAACAACTGTGGTGGAACCAGAAGTTGAATGAACGTTCCCTGTGTTCTCTAATGACCAATAAATCTACCAACTTTTTCAATGAATCACTCTTGGCAGTTTGTCTTTTTTGACATGTCAACAGTTATTTCATTGTAAATTGACTCCATCACCACTCCATGTCAATATTATTATATTCTCGGTGTCTACTGGAAAAAAATAATTGTAGTTGTCTAAATTGATAGGGTTGTAAAAAGTAAAATTTTCTTGTATTAAGTATTGTGATGTTCAGTTACACAAACATGACTACTGTTTAATGAAGGCATAGACCAGCCACACTTGAGATTTATTTTTTTTTATAAACAAAAGTCCACAATCCTGAATGTATTGTCTCTACCCACTATTCAACTAGCTAACCCTGGTCAGGCTTTTCCTTTGCTAGGTGCCACAAAGTATCTAAATCTAAACTAAATCTTAGTTTTTAAATTCATATTCAAAATTAACATAATGTCATGTTTTTAATCTTATACCATGGACCCTTTCAGGTTAGACAGAAAAACATAAATTATAAATAGTCCAACCAGACTATTTATAATTTATGTTTGTTTTTGTTTTGTTTTTGAGACACCTCAAACTACATTAAAATTGAGTTTTGTAAGAGAAGTTTAGATTCTTATTTTTTTAATTTGTCCCACTAAAGCTACGGCGACCTGTTTTTCTGTTTGTTTTCTACAACACAGCTCCACCATATATCCGTTTTACTACCGTCATGTGACATACTGGATTTATTCTCCACTTCTAAGTGTTTACATCCAGATGTCTGCTTATATGCTAGGCTACATAAAAAAATCAATGTAATTCAGAAAGAGGATAACATATTTTGTGTAATTATGTTATGAAAGTTGTTTAATACTACTATGTTTAATATATCTTTGAAAGAATCAAATTAACATTTTATTCCTTATTCTTTGTCCAGTTAACAAGTGTATTACTAACTGTTTTAACGTCGTTTAGCAGCAGTTAGGCTCCATCTCATCATATTCCTGCCTTTGTTTCACCGGATGCTGTTTGACGTACAGCGACGCAAGGCTTCCAGATCGCGGGTCTTCGTCATCTCCATGCGACTACAGAGTGAAGCTTCGCGCCAAGCTGCTGCTACTAACACTGTTGTGTTCATTTTTGTTCTCTTCTGATATTAAGGAAACTTTGGCTGCAAAGGCTGCAAAAGAAGACCCTCTGCTTCTTCACCATGGTAAGTTGCAGATTTGTGACGGAGTGAAAGAGAGAAGCTGCGTCATCTGCAGTCGAGGGGAGAAAGTTGTCAGAGCGTTATTGACAAAGTAAAGCTAGGAACATTTTTACTCTGCTGCTCGTGATTAAATTACAGTGTTCGACCCTTTTCTTGGTCGTATGAGAAGGATGATATTACAACGAGATAAAACGTGGATGTAAAGTACACGTTTACTTGTTTTTCAAATGTTAATTGTCATTTTTAAAAAATCATTACTAATGTTCTATGTATTGCTTCTAAAGAGGCTAGATGAAAGGCTCTTCCTGTCAGAGCATAAATAACAAGAATATCGGCCACCGACACTGCCGATTCTCTCATATACTAACTGTTGGTAGTTGTCATCAAGCCCGGAAACAAGTACAGTAGTACCTTTACATGGCAAAAGTATCTGTGCATAAGTATTATTACTTGATGGGAAATATGATGACTGTTATCTCTCCCTGTCTAAGAGCTAGATAATAAACCTGTGTAACTTATAATTTATTCATGTTAAATACAAAGAAAAATGTGTGTAATTACAAATATTGCATGGATTATACCATACAGTGTGTATTCTACTAGATGCATTCTTAAAAGCATGTATTCAACCATTATGCCATTACATTAACATTTTTAAACCCATATATTTCAAATACATTTATAAATTACTCAAAGGAAAATGCTGTCTTAATCGTATTGGGAAAAAAATAATCAACATTTATAATTATACCCATTCTGTTATTTTTCACCCAGGACATTAGGCGGTTCTTTGCACCGACTGCAGCCAAACCTGCGGTGCAGAAACCCCAGAATGGAAATTTGAAAGCAGAGGAGAAGAAGAAAAAGAAAGAGACCAAGGTAAGGCAATAAGTCTGTCAAGATGAACTCAACGTCTGCACCTTCATTGCTAAGCCAAATAGAACAATAAATCACACAAGAGTTTAACCCCACTGCAAGACTAGTACACATCATGTGTTTGATTTAAAATAATAATTCTAAATTCAAACATTTTGATGGCCATAACTCACTTCACAACTGATATATTTTACAGCAGACTGCCACACAGCTCGACACGATTATATTTAGGACCTGGCAGTAATTCTGAAGTTAAGTTATTACAAATTTGTTGTTAATCAGGTCAAAGCGGAGGAGAAACAACATGATGGCGAGAAAAAGAGGAAGAAGCGTGCCATCATAGAGTCAGGTAAAAAAGATGATTCACTCTAGTTAGTTAACTTGTCTTTTGGACTGAAGGAACGGTTGACAAACAAACAGACTGCTCTTAAGAGACAGCTTTTCATCCTTTTTGTGTCTTCCCATGACCGTGTATTTGTTCGCTCTACAGACTCTGAGGAGGAACCAGTGAGGCAGTCTAAAAAAGACAAAGCCAAGCCGAGCAAAAGAACACCACCTTCCAAACAGGATCCTGTGCATTACGTCTCTGAAACAGGTGACAGCCTCTCAGTGTAAATGTTTGGGCTGGGATTGAATTGTTCACTTTTCTGCCCCAGAACATGTATATTAATTACAAATATTGAGGATTTAAAAATGTTTTACATCAATAATATGATAGTACATATGAAAGCATTTTCATCTATTTGATCTTTTTTAAATAACAATACTAGATATTTATCCGACTTATTTTTAAATTTTGCTTCTTTGGCTGTAGATTCTGACAGTGACAGCTTTCCAACCTTGAAGAAAGTTTCAAAAGCCAAACAGGACAGCACATCCAAACACACAAAGACAGAGAGACATAATTCTCCACCAGGAGCCAGAGAAGTCGTGAAATCTCCGCTACAGGTTAAGACTGCGCTGAAGTCTCCACCGGTGCCTGTTCAACCCAAACAAACCCCCACCTCAGTGTTCGACTACTTTGGCAGTGGCACGATTCAACGCTCAGCCAAGAAGCTGGTTGCCAGTGCTAAAAGAAAAGCTGTAAGTTCAGCTAAGGTTTTTTGTAGAATTAATTTTAGTGCAACAAAACCAAAAATAATTGATGGTTGTACACCAATGTGTATGTTTATGTCCAGCCAACACAGGACAAAGATGATCTAATCAGTGATGAAGAACTTGCCAGGCAGCTGCAGATGGAGGAAGATGCCGAGGTCAGCAGATGGAGACTTCTACCATTATTTAAAATATATTTGGATAAAAAAAAAGGATATGAGAGCCATAAACTAAGTTATACATTTGGTTTATCTTGAAAAATGTATAATAAATCAAATGTTTTTGTTGTCTTAATTTGACTTAGCTTGAAAAGCAGGTCCATGGGGATGAGGAGTTTGCCAGAACACTCGCCATGCAGGACAAAGAGCCACAGGCAAAGAAGGTATGAAATTAATATCTGCATGAACAGTGAATCAAATTAGTACTATTAGTTAACTAAACGGTGTATCTTGTTCATTGTTGTTATTTCATCCAGGCACGGAAAGGTTTTGATGAGAAACAAACTCCTGCAGCAGTTCCTACTGAGAGCAGCACAAACTCTGCTGACGGCAGCAAGAGCAGCCCATCACAGAGAAGCCACATCAAATCAGAGGACATCATCAGCCCGTCTCCAAAGAAGAAAAACCCTTCTCCAGCTAAAGCTAGCTCTAGACTGGCCATGATGAAGAAAAGGGATGAAGAAAAGGCTATGCAACCGAAAAGCAAAAATCACATACCACTCACAAAAGTCTCCCCCAAGAAGGAGCCTCTGGCTTCACCCATGAAGTTCACACCCAAAACAGGATCCTCGCCCACTGCAGTTAAAACATCTCCCAAGAAACCAAAGGTGTGAGTCCTGTAGAAACCTTCTCTATGGTGTCTGCATCACTTTGTGTCTCCACAGTGACTGACTGATGAAATAACTTCCTTAACTACACGTTGAATTCCTTTTCATTTTGACCAGAGCATCAGCACGAGTCCCGACGATGCAGAGAAGAAGAAAGTCAACGCTTCAGCTTACAGAAACTACCTTAACAGAGACGGGCCACAAGCTCTGGGCTCCAAGGAAATCCCACAGGTTGTAGAAATCCAAACATCTGTGATGTCCAGTTGTGAATGGAAACTCAGCTGAATCTCACAGCTTACATTTGAATCTGTGGTATGTGTGTTTCTTTTCCACAGGGAGCAGAGAACTGTTTGGAAGGCTGTGTGTTTGTGCTGACAGGGGTCCTAGAGTCCATGGAGAGAGATGATGCCAAATCTCTCATCGAGCGATACGGGGGGAAAGTTACAGGCAACGTCAGCAAAAAAACCACATACCTGGTGCAGGGCAGGGACAGTGGAGTCTCAAAGCTGGAGAAGGTGACCTAACCTGGTGTCTGTTAACAGAAGACCGATATAAAATGTTTTATAAAATATTTTTAGGCGTGAATGATTTATGAATGTTTTTGTGTCTGCACCTGTAACTGGTTCAACTCTTTGTTGTCCTCCGCTCAGGCTGAGAGTTTGGGAACACAGATACTGGATGAGGACGGTCTGCTGGACCTGATCAGAACTAAACCAGGCAAGAAGTCCAAGTATGAAATAGCTGCTGAGGCCCAGGTGAGCCCCCCAGTATCTAATCAACTTTCCTCTTAGACTACTGTCACTGTGTAATTTAATCTCTTAATACACAGTAGACCTGGTCATTGCTGGATTTTCTTTAAATTAATAAAGTAAATGAAAAAAATCTCTTAAAAAAATTAAGTGAATTATTAATTCTTTCACTGCAGCCTGCTTCACACTAGTAAAACCCTGTAAAATCTGTTAGCAACAAACTAAGATACAACAAGTGCTTAAAGTAAAATATAGAGGTCTGGCTGTAATGTGATCAGTGCAAAAAAAGCTAACTGGTAAATGACATATAAAGGATGATGTCTTCTGCTCTAACAGATTGGATATGATTTGTTTTAAATTAGAATAAAGCTTCAAAAACCAGGACTCCTCCCAGTCAAGTGTCAAAGGTTACAAACAGACCTCAGAAGATCTCTCCTTCCAAGGGTAATTCCAGGTCCCCTCACACTCCCAGCCCGTCAAAGACTGCTCAGATACAGGGTCACAGTGTGAAGGGTGGAAGCAGCAGCACGCCACCTGGGAGAGGTTCAGGTCACATGGCCCGCCGGGAGCTTGGCCTCTCCTCCTCCTCGCCCTCCTTGTCTTCCTCTTCTTGTCTACCTCGAGGCCCTAGCTCTCCATCAGTAAGTGGAGAAGATGCCAGTCTCCTCTGGGTGGACAAGTACCGTCCACTCTCCTTGAAGGCAGTGCTTGGTCAGCAGGGAGATCAGAGCTGTGCCAATAAACTGCTGCGGTGGCTGAAGAACTGGTACAAAAACAACGGCAGCACCACGTCCAAAGCACCAGGTACCAGACTGTGAGGATTAGTTCCTCTTTAAGAGGCGCATCTAAAAACCAGAGAACTTTTGGTATTGAAGTGTAGATTTGTCCTGTTTTTTTTCATGTATCTGCAGCCAGGTTTGGTAAGTTTGGAGGGGGGAGGGATGATGGATCAGGGTTCAAGGCAGCTTTGCTCTCAGGACCCCCTGGTGTGGGAAAGACCACCACCGCAGCCCTGGTCTGTCAGGTTAGTGTCCAGATGGAAATATTCTTACATTACAGTGCAGTTACTTTAAATTGTATTGTGTTTTTAAAAAACCTTTGGTCGCAGTTACTTTAAATTGTATTGTGTTTTAAAAAAACCTTTGGTCACCTTTTGATTTTACCTGTGACTTTCGACTCACAGGAACTTGGTTTCAGCTTCGTGGAGATGAACGCCAGCTGCACTCGCAGTAAAAACAATCTGAAGGAAGTCGTGGCAGAGTCGCTTAACAACACCAGCATCGAAGGCTTCTACAAAGGTCAGTCAATTTTCAAGAACTAACCCATCTTTGGTGTACTCTGTTAAATCAGATACAGTCATTTTGTTCTCAGTCTGCAGTATTAACATTATTAAAAACTTTTCCTTGATGTTTTTTTTCTTTTACAAGATGAGGACTAATTAAAAGCAAATGCACAATGACTAAAAAAACAGTCTAGAGGAGACGATGAATGTTTATTAGTGATTACATTAATGAGAGAAAATAAAACTTGTTTCCAGCTAAAATCAAACAATGATCATATGTAAAATAAATATAGAAATCCCCCCAAAATCAAGGTGTTTCTGAATTCAAACATTGCTGTTTCTGCATTTAAGTCCCAGTAAATGTGTGACACAGATGCCCATGCTGATCTGCTGCTCTCTTGTTTGTGCTTCTGTCTTGTAGGCACCTCGCAGACAGTAAGCAGTAAACACATCCTGATCATGGATGAGGTTGATGGGATGGCTGGTAATGAGGACCGTGGAGGAATCCAGGTGAAAAAACACCTCATTCTTACTGCTGCTACATTCTCTAGGTGTTAATGCATTTGGAAATAAATGGTCAACAGATTTTTACGTCACACATTTTGTTTTGTTTTTAATCAGTGCAATTCAAGTGTCTGCAGGATTAAGTGATAATCATTCTCTCTTCTGTGTTCCTGACCTCTGACCTTCTGTAGGAGATGATTGGCCTGATCAAAAGTTCAAAAATCCCCATCATCTGCATGTGCAATGATCGTAACCACCCCAAGATCAGGTCACTGGCAAACTACTGCTTTGATTTGAGATTTCAGAGGCCGCGAGTGGAACAGATCAAGGTTAATTAAGTTAATAGTGTATTCACACAAAAACCTAAGATTATCAATTTCACATCAAATCATCAAAAACTAACATTTAATGTTCTGTCCATATTTCCAGGGAGCCATGATGTCCATTGCTTACAAAGAAGGCATCAAAATCCCACCTCCAGCTCTTAATGAAATCATCCTTGCGTCCAATCAGGATGTTCGACAGGTACTGAGGAAACCCAAGTCCAGTTCTTTACTATTTAGGTCTTTGTTCACTATTGTTTCATTGTGATGTTTTTTTATTTTATATAACTCCAGGTGATCCACAACTTGAGCATGTGGTCGGCCAGAGACAAGGTGATGACGTACGACCAGTGTAAGTCCGACGCTGCCAGCGCTCGCAAGGACATGAAACTGGGGCCATTCGACGTGTGCAGGAAGGTGTTTGCATTGGGAGAGGAGACGGCGCACATGAGCTTCATCGACAAGTCCGACCTCTTCTTCCACGACTACTCACTAGCGCCACTCTTCGTCCAGGAGAACTACCTGCACGTTCGCCCTGTAGCTGCCAGGTGAGGAAGAGCAGCTGTACCTCAAACCAAACAAACAACCGTCCAGGTTTGTTTTGTAACATTGTTTGGTTTTCCTCTGTCTCTGTACAAACAGTGGAGACCCCAAGGCCCACCTGGTGCTGCTCAGCAAGACGGCAGACTCCATCTCTGATGGAGACCTGGTGGACAGGAGGATACGCTCTGGACAGAACTGGTCGCTGCTGCCAACTCAGGTCATTAATTGCTTTGTGTCCATTTTTTGTGATGTGCTGCCTCTTGGCTAACCATCTAATATCTAATTCTGTCATAGGCCATCTATGCCAGTGTGCTACCAGGCGAGCTGATGAGGGGCTACATGAGTCAGTTTCCTACGTTTCCCAGCTGGCTCGGCAAAAACTCCTCCACCAATAAACATTCTCGTATAGTTCAGGAGCTGGCTTCACACATGAGCTTGAAGTGAGTGCAAACATTGTACAGTGTTTTGCATAATATGGGTTGCACAACTTTTAGTAGTTTGCCTGGTACTGCTACTAAAATATTAAAGCATTTTGCATTTAAATATATACCCCATGTCATTTATGACCAAAAGAGGGCACTGTCTACACTTGTGACAACCGGAAAAAAAATCACACAACTAAATTAAGATGCAGTGCACATTAAAAAGAATACAGGAGACAGAGCTTCATGTTGTGGAATTGTTTAGAAATGACGTAGAGGAGGAATGTTTGCAGTGACTACTCTGTTAAATGTTAATATATTAAGCCTGTGTTTTTGTTAAGTTGTGTACGTTTTTTTTTTTTTTCAAGATTAAACGTTTATCTCTGAATTCCTGTAAATCTAATTATTTTAAAAAATCAATGCGACTCATAGACTGGTTTAACAAAGGCGACTAATGCTGTGGTGTGACTGAAAAATACAGTAGTCTGTCTGTTTCTTAAGTATGTGTTTGCAAGAGAAACAAGGACATTTTTTGTGCTCCTGCAGGACATTTAGCAGCCGACAGGCAGTCAACCTTGACTATCTGCACTACCTGCGGCAGGCGCTGTTGAGCCCATTGCAGAAACATGGAACTGAGGGAGCCGGACAGGCTGTGCAGCTGCTGGATGACTACCAGCTTGTCAAGGAGGATGTGGACAGCATCATGGAGATCAGTGTCTGGGGTGGACAGCCTGACCCCTACTCCAAACTGGACTCTAAGGTCAGCATTAAAGAGACTTATTTAAGAATGTGGCTCAGACCAACAGAAGAGTTGGTTTTATTCTTTTTTTTCCCCTTTGCTTATTTTTTTCTTGTTGACCCAGGTCAAGGCAGCTTTCACCCGAGCCTACAACAAAGAAGTTCACTTGACGCCGTACTCCCTGCAGATAGTGAAGAAGAGCCGACGTGGTGGAGGAGAGTCGGAGCTAGGAGGAGAAGACAACGGACACGAGGAGTCAGAAGGTGAAGACAACCTTAAAGTGGACGCTATGATTAAAGTAAGTACTCACACCAGCAATTTTATTTTCCAAACTCATTTCTCAATTGACATTTCCTGTCATTCATATTTTCACCTGCTCTGTCCCTGCAGCAGAAGAAGATTAAGACTCCAAAGGAGCCAAAGGAGAAAAAGGAAGAGTCTGGGAAGGGCAAAGGAAAGGGCAAAGGCAAAACTAAGAAATGAGGAAAAACTTTTTTTTTTTTTTCCTGCTGCTGCTTAAAGAACAGAATCTCGTATCTGTCCCTGCACTTACACCAATCCACAAGCAAGCAATGGAAAATAGTGAAACTGATCCAAGACCCAACATTCATCTAATCACAAGAGTTTTTTCAACTCTGTGCCATCACTCTGTTTTCCTCTGTACTGAACCAATGCTGCTCCTTGTCTGCTTGTTCCATCACTGATCATGTGAGTCTGCACTTCTTTTATATCATGTGTCAGATCAGCCAGGTCCAGGTGTCGAGGGTGTAAATAATGTGACTATTATCTTTTGCTATTGTCTTTAGTAAACGATAGTTTTCCTACTTGAGACTGTAAAGTCCTGTAAAGATTTCATGAGAATGAATATAGAAATATGTAGCTCATGAATGTCGGCGTGCTGTGTTTTTGTTTTGTGTATTAACGAAAAGTAAAGGAGTACAAAAGTATTTCTTTTTTGTGTAAATAAAGTTAACTCGCATTTACAAAACCATGTTAAAAGTCCTTAAAGCTTTTTCTTTTATATGTTTTTGATAACTCACTGGGTTAATGAAAACCTAATGGAGTATGTAATTATTTTAATTTTGTTTTGAAAGTGATCAAGATTTGTAATTGGAAAGTTTGACCAGTGGCGATAGACCCACCAGTAGAATTCAATCACAACCCAAATTAATAAATATATATGTTTTCTAGCAAACTTAGAGGCAGTTAGAGGGAGTTTGTGTTTAAAAATATCCCACGTTTGTGCTGACCTGCTGTTCATGTCTTATTTACACTAGAGAACCACTCGTCTCTAATCCTTTAAAAGTAAATCTGGTTCTTGTTGAAAATTAGAGTTAAATAAAACATTAATGTGGTACCAGCACATTATTAAAGAAAGAAATATTTATGAACTACAAAATACTTTTATACGAAACTGTATTTGTCATATGCCTGATACCAAAGATCAGAAGCAAAATATGACTTTTTGTAGCAGAGTTTAATTTGGGGGAAATATTTAAGTAAATTAAAAATTAAATACAAATATTTTACATACATCGATCTGCTTCTCAGAAAACAGAATATGAATGATCCATCTTTACTGATCTAGTTGTTTGGGGAACAGTCGGAAAGTTTCTGTGGGCGTGCTGTCCACAACATCCAATCAAATTAGATGATGTTTGGATTCGACAGCATCCAATCCAATCAGCTTGCAGGATAATGAATCAAAAACGATACCAAAAATGTTAGTTCGGCTAAAAAAAATTAGGTGGTCAACAAAAACGAATTGCAGTATGCAAAACATGACGATAACAGACGGAGACTAGAATGACCACCTGTCCCGCTTTACGTTGTATTGAACAGCAATTTTAGCCTTTGTTCCGCGTCACGCAAAATTAAAATGTTGTCCCATTTTTTCATTCGACATAACTTAATTGAATATAAACTATTTTCTGTACCTGGCTGTCTATGGGCACGACTATCAGTGCAGTCTATAGCAATGATAGGGGCCTTCGTGGATAAGGCGGTAGCTGACAGGCTGAGTGATGTGTCAATCAAACTGACTGACTCGCAGCAGTCGCACACACTTTAGCGTCTGATATCGTAGAGAGCGCAATTGTTTTGATACTGTGAAGGCGTCCTTGTGTAGTGTGCCGAAAAAATAAGACGCCACCTTTTGGCTGAGACCAGTGGGTGGAGATTCTAAACCAGCTTTCTGCAATTTGTGTAAAAACGGCTTTTCTGTCGGACATGGTGGCGAATCTGATGGGAAGCGACAC